AACAATCGCGCTATAACAAACGTTATCATTCTCAACGAACGTCTCACGTGCTCCACTCAACAATACTCAGTTCAATTACACATTATTCCGTCACGTTGTGACCGTCTTATATATACAAGACTAACAAATATCTAGTAAACGCTAGAACATTCACGAAGGAACAGGATATTTCTAGAAGTCAATGACGTGTTACGAGAGTCACGTGACCCCGATATCGTAACACTATATATTTAATAATTTTGTACTTGGAATGATTTTTAATTATATTTCAAGAATTTAATTTTCGAAGAATGATTTATATAAAGCTTTTTATTGTTTATAGAAGATCAGTGAGATACAGTGTCTACTTATTTTTAATACACGTGAACAGTTCATCCCTAACATAAACTTCTCCACACATTTTCTGCTGCACTAACTTGTGCCACTTCACTGTCCGCAAAAAGGTATGGTCAATTAAAGCCAAAATATTTTTATATTTCCTTAAGTATTACAAGAATCAATTATTTGTATTATTCTAAAATCATCGAAATTTTTTCTCCCAACTTATTACACTTTTCTAAGCAACTTTATTTTTCTGTACTCATATATATTTACATAGTTTAATCATTTTAAATATAACTTGTCATAACAGATTTTGGCTGCAACTGTTATTATGGAAAAGGGTATTACCAAATTTCGTGGTGACTATTTAACTTAGTCCAATATTTCAATTTGAATATATACTATTATGTTTATAAACTGGAATACCAACATCAGAATCACTATATTTGTTGGTTTTGCTTAAGTGAGATACAAATACTAGCATTTTATCTTTCAAAAAATATAAATAGATGGTACTATCTATATGTTTCGTAATTTAAAATAATTTTCTTTTAAAACATATTAGTATTTTACCTTTAAAAATATATATAAGTAGATGATAATATTTATAAATTTTGTAATCTAAAATAATTTGCAAGAAATCTGAATATTTGGGTAAACGAAACACTAGATGGCACTATACTATACGCAGTATTTCCTTTATGTTTAGGGTGAGACAGATGTAGAGAAGTGCACTTGCTGAAGTTTATGTTTACAACTTAACTTTATCTAACTGTTATATGGTTTTGAGTTAAATAACGGCCATGATAATTAGATTCATTTTACGCAATGTATACAGAAATATCTACATAAATCAGTTTAAAGCATCTTTGGCTTTCAGTTCAAATGCGATAGAATTAGGAAAAATGAAAGTATGTTATTGTTTCTTCAAATTGTTTTATAAAATATTTAAAAGTTCCCTGTTGAATAAATTATACTACTCTATAATGTTACTATTATTAGTAATAGTATTACTGTTAATTAGTAATAATAATATATTTGAAAAGAAAGCGCCATAGGAAAAAACTTAATAAATTTGTTGCATTAGTCTGGTAAAAACCATTCAAATAGACTTATAAAATATAATTGAAAAATAAAATTCAAAGGTTTACAACTTCTAGTTTACAAAAATAACTACAGTAAATTACAAAAGAGAAAAAGCATTGTAGAGATTAAGAAACTAGTTGCAACACTTTCATGTGACCTTTTCAAATTTAAGTTCTACTCTAGTGTATCTTCTGAGAAAAAATTTGCCCATGCAGCTTGAGGAGATTCGTGAAATTCTCTTGGGGGACACACGTCGTCAAGTAACAGTTAAACTTGAACTTTAAAATCGAAGTGTCTAAATAGTTTTCTAGTTTTTGTACCAATATTTTTTTCCAAAAGTGTGGATTTTTTGTTAATTTAGCTAATATAGGTATTGTGTACATACATATTGTGTAGTTTACACTATAATTAAAGTAAGTTCTGTGTTCAATAAGAATATAAAAATGATTATTAATAGTTTCTTTTCCCACAAATACAAATATTTATTAAAAATGTGAAAAGCTAGTTGGAAATATCAATCATTAGGCTTTCCATTTCTGTATTTCAGTCCTTGTGTTAAGCCCTAATTATCACTGTATTGACTGTATCACCAAAATGGTATAAGATCCCTACCACTGTATCCAGTAGGACACTCTATAACTTGTAGGATTAGTGCCACCATAGTTTAATAAATGTAAATTTAGAAACAGTGGGTGTGATTCCTATGCTATTGTACAGCCACACAGACTTACACTTATTAATAGTTTTACTGTAGCAGCAGCATTTGTGGGATAATAATTTTTACAATGTAATAAGTACCCAGCTTTTAACTGAGCTACCTTGGAGATGACTCAAACTCCAAGGTTTCAAAGATGAAAATTACGTTGTTGTTTTTTTCATGTACTGAAACAATATAAGTTATAGCAACTTCTCATTCCATAAGTTGATTACCCTGTAAGAAAAATAAATTGTCTTAACTGGACTCTAGTTTGTCTTTTTTCTTCAACTTTTGTCCTGTTGTCCTCAGAATATAGCACAAAGAAATCAGAGGCATTCATCCTATCATTGCCACGGATATTTTGATAAACTTCAATAAGATTGTCACTTCGCTTTCTTTTCTCAAAATACGTTGTCTTAATTTATACCCATAAAATAATTCTTTCATCTCCAGAACCATCCTAGAAGACCTCTAATGAACCCTTTCCAATAAGTCAATATCCTTTCTTAAAGGAGACAAAACGGTGCTACTATAGCGTGAGGTCTACCGCCATATGTCGCCTACCCAGGCCTATCAAACATGTATAAAAATGTATCAAATTAAGTATTTATCGCTAAAATAAATGTATGGAAATGTGTGATATCCATGAGGGATGGATAATGTAGCGGTAGACCTCACACTATAGTACTAACGGGAGGTAGACCTCACGCTATAGTAGCACCGACAAAACTATATACAATATTTGAAATAAGATCTAACTAGTGACGTGTATAGAGATAATTACGTCTTTTGACACTCTTAAAAATCTAACAGTTTCACTACTAACAACAGAGCACTTGAGTAACTTATCCACATTATGGCAAAATACTTTTCTTCAGTTACACTACTGAAAGTTTTTTTTATCTGTGGAAAGTTGCAGTCTAAATTATAACCCAAGTGCATTACTTTGCTGTAATTAAAAGTCATTTGCCAAATACTTTTTCCACTTACCTATTGATTTATGTCATTGGCAAACTTTACTAATGAGCATAAGACACCAACTTCTGAGGTAATCCATTAGTAACAAGGGTTCATTGTGACTGAATTCCTTCACTATAAATGTTGTGCTTGCTACCAAACAATTACACAACACTCCAATTGACTAATCTTTCCTCAGCCCTTACTGATGTGAACTCTAAAACCTTTTGGAAATTCCAAGTTCACCTTTTTGATCATCCAGATAACATCCTTGAAAAAAACGATTAGCAAGGCATTATTTCTCTTTAGTGAATCCATATGAAATTTATTTTTATTTCACTAGGTGATTTTACAAAGCTTATTTTATCAGATAGGACTAACTGGTCTGTAATTACTTAGGTGACTTTTATTGCTTTCTTTACAAAATAAAAGTAGCACAAGTTTTTCTCCAATTCTCATGCATTTGCTCACTTTCTTTGACATACCAAAATTTTAAAACTGAAAGAGATAGGCTCACATATCTTATATTTTACCTCCTTTAGAACCATGCAAAAAATGTTTTTTTTATTCCCAAAGTATATATTTTTACACGATTAGGTCAATCCAAGTTCTTCCCATAGAATGATCTACGTAAAGAATATTGCTAACATAAAACCTTTAAAAACTCAGCCATTTCATTGTCTTCAACAACAACCTTGCCATCAACAATCCCCATTTTAACATTTTTTCTTCTTTTAAGGTACTGTAAAAAAAATTCCTTGCTGTTACATTAATATTATCAGCCAGTTGTTTCTCATAAACCTTTTGGATTTTTTAACCAGAATCCAAGCTTTTCTACAGTCCTGTAAACCTTCCTCTGTGTTTGTTTCTTTAAACTTGTAGAATTCATCTTCAATTTTCTCCTTTGTCCAAGGTAAGCCTGTTAGTTTGATCCTCCCAGTTGTCCTTTACCTCTTTTTACAACATACCCATCTTGTGTTAAAAGCAGTTTATTTTGTCAAAATATAATCCACATCACCTTTTAACTCATTATCCCCATTCATTAATGATAAATATTGTCTCATGGCCTCAAAAATGACTTTTTTAAACTTAGAAACTAAGTTTTAATTTCATCTTAACATGTATCAAAACATCAAACCCAATTATGCAGTGATTGCTCTTCCCCAGATGCCCTCCCCAAGTTAATTAAACTGTAGGATGGCTGGGTAATAGAAAGAAAAGGGGTTGTTATTAAGGGATCCCAGTCAAATTGTACCTCTGTTATTAGGGGACTGTCTTGGGGTACAGTGCTTAACCTTTTTCTCTTGTTTAGATAAATGATATTAATAGAGGTGTATTTAGTAAATTGGTAAAGTTTTCTATCTCAGCACTATCCAGCCAGCGGTCCTTTTGATCTAACCACTCCAATATTAATGAATCCACTTGCCTCTGAGTAAATGCAGTTTGTTTAATCAATGTAGAATTGGACACATCTTAAGAACAAAATAGCCACATTAAATGTCGCTATGCAGTTGGATTGATCTGTTCTAGTTGTATTGAGGTGCTACTGAATGATTTACAGTAAGTGCAAGGTGATGTATTTGAGTTATATTAGGATCAATGCTACTGAATGATTTACAGTAAGTGCAAGGTGATGTATTTGAGTTATATTAGGATCAATGCTACTGAATGATTTACAGTAAGTGCAAGGGGATGTATTTGAGTTATATTAGGATCAATGCTACTGAATGATTTACATTAAGTGCAAGGTGATGTATTTGAGTTATATTAGGATCAATGCTACTGAATGATTTAAAGTAAGTGCAAGGTGATGTATTTGAGTTATATTAGGATCAATGCTACTGAATGATTTAAAGTAAGTGCAAGGTGATGTATTTGAGTTATATTAGGATCAATGCTACTGAATGATTTACAGTAAGTGCAAGGTGATGTATTTGAGTTATATTAGGATCAAAAATGTAATGTAGATGGATGCTGAAACTCAATGGTGTTGCTTAAGAAAGGTATCTTGGCATAAATCACTCTAGCCATCCAAGTATTGCTGCATTACTAGTCACAAAGCTAATGGAATTTTAGGGTTATTATTATAGACATGGTTTACAGGTCAAAAAAGTAATTTCTTTGTATAAGTCACTAATTAGGTCTCACTTGAAACAGTGTGTACAGTTTGGGATCCCTATATCAGAAATGATATAGATTTATTGGAAAGAATTCTGAGGACCACTAGAAAGATTCGGTGAATACAAGGGAGTTATCTTATGGGGTAAGTTAAGAATTCTCTCTTTTTTTTTTCTTTTACAGAAAAAGAGTAAGAGATGGTTTTATTGAAGATCACAAAATTATCTGAGAGAACCAATAAGAAAAAGGCCTCTGATTTCTGTCTTGAAGACAAAAGGAAGAGAGGACACAAGTTTAAGACTTGGAAAAAGACAGGCTAGGCTTAAATTAAGACAAGTTTCATTTTTTTAGCAGGATGACCAGCTTTTGGAAGAAGTTGCTATTGGCAGTAGTAAAAACTGGAACCAAAATTTAAGAGTGGTATCAATATTATGAAAAGAATGGGTTTCAGTTTTTTTATTTTTCTCATGAGTGGGTGTACAGAGGTAGCTTTGAAGGACAATATAGTCCCTTGTTATCTATGTATTATGAAATCCTTTTGTGAAAATGTATTCAACATGTCTTTACCTAAGACTATGCTCATAGATTCCACCACATACCCATTTTTTCCCCACAGATCATCCATATTTCTGCTTTAAATAATGAAGTTTTCATGAGAATATGTAGTATCTAGAAGGGGAGCTTGCAATGCTGTGTACTGTATAGGTAGCAATGTGTTTGTTCCATAAGCTATTAATACCTCGACTTCCTGTATACATAATCCACTTCTATTTAGTGTATTCATAAGACTTGGACAAATTTCAAAGAAATCTTTTTTTTATGCTCTATTTCCAGCAAACTAAGATTGATCGTCAAACAATTGAACACCTGGAGAGGCTAGCTTTAGTAGATTTTGCCAACCAAGCAGGAATTCGGAGTCTGGAAGAAGCTATAGAATTTGCCGACCAGCTCTCGGCTGTGGATACAGAAGGTGTTGAACCGATGATCACAGTGCTAGAGGACAGGTAAGGCATATATAAAATAAGTTTTCTAGGCTGGAAATAACTCCATGTAACTGTTATACAAATATGAATTTACAGAGGAAATTTCGTGATAGATCTTCCACATATCAAGTGATACTAAACATTTACACTCTAGGAAATGAATACCTGCATAATGCCCATCAATGGCAAAAGGATTGTCTTCATTATGTAGAAAAATATTCATTATGTTTATACAAAATGAAATATTATGCAATGAATTGATACAAAAGAAAATGTTTATTACTTCAGGAATTATTTCTAAAAGGAACATTTATCAATTGGACAATTGAAACAAAGAAATACTCATTGTTAAAGGAATTAGTATTGAAGAAAATATTCATTACTTAGAGAATTGAGTAACTTGAGTGATTTAGTACAAAAGAAAATTATCATTCACTGAATCAATCTAGATTTGTTGGTGTTACTGTAGCGTGCAGTCTATAACAATATTTACACTATAGTGTGCAGTCTATAACAATACTTACACTATAGTGTGCAGTCTATAACAATATTTACACTATAGTGTGCAGTCTATAACAATATTTACACTAGTGTGCAGTCTATAATGTTTACACTGTAGTGTGCAGTCTATAACAATATTTACACTATAGTGTGCAGTCTATAATAATATTTACACTAGTGTGCAGTCTATAATAATATTTACACTATAGCGTGC